CTCCTTTTTTTTCACTACCCCCCTGGAATTTCAATGCCCCCCCACCATGGCAACTAAAATGGTCACAACTTGTAGGGTTGTATATAATTCTCTTCTGATTGGTGTCTTGACTGATTGGTATATTTCAGCTGCTAAGTTCACTGCACATTGTCGCAGAATACAGTTTGCCTTCTTTGCTTAAAACCTTGTTCAAGTGGTACGAGAAACAGGTACGTCAAAAAAAATGCTTGATTGTTAACATCTTTTGATTCTGCAAAAATAATTATCTGTTCCCAGCCTGGGAGGGACACTGAAAAATCCTGAGGGGCAGGGGGAGGGGTCTCAAAGAACCAAATTTCCAAAGAAACTAACATGCAGAACTAATGAGGGTGGAGTGGGTACGGCTCAAACCAAAAGAACCTCTGTGTGGGTGGAGTATGGATATTTTCTGGAGCAGCAAATTGTTGAATTATTGTTGTTGTTCACTGACTGGCATACTAAATGTGTACCTTTTGTGTTTTTGTTCCTTAGCAAAACAGAACTGGTGAGGCAGATTTACCAGATGGACACAAAGGCAAAATCAACATCACAAAACCAAAAGGGTATGGTTCATGAAGTTGTTGTTAGAAACTAACAGCAATTGTTTCTCATTATTTAGTAAACAACATTGTGATTAGTGGTTAGGATATCTCTAATTGCATGTATATTAATGCTTTGTACAAGTTTCCCCTACATATACATGTACATTGAATTGTGAAAACTGAAGGTGTGTGCGGTGTTTGCAATATGGTGGAATTACATGCAAAATCCACGCAAAAAACTCAGGCATAAATTTTTACGTGACGTCTTACACGCAGCTTGTTATAAATGCATGCAAATTGCTTGTATTTCTTTACAACAGCTAATGGCAGAAGCCAATGATGGCTTATGAAAAATTAGAAACCAACATTGTGGAAAAAACTTCTTTTTGCGGTGAAAAAGAAAACAACTTACTATACATTTTGTGTTGTCAACTTTCTCTTACTACGAATGTCATGTTTTGTAAATAATAATAATAATAATAATCAACAATTCACGTTGTGTATAAATTCCTTGGCTGTTGGCTGAAGCCAGGGATTTCCCTACTTTACTTTTACTTAGATGCATGGGTTGTTGTTACTTATTTGTTTACTAAAAGTCATGCCATGCCCTTGTACAATCTTTTTATGTGATAGGTAATGAAATAGTCGATCTGTTGTACAAGTCATGTGTTCACATCACTGTAGGAAAGGTTTTGAACTCCAATGCTGAATACGACAAGTTGTTACTAATAAATATTTATTATTTATAACATTACTTTATTTTACATAATTTGATGTTATCTATTTGCTGTTATAGTGGCAGTGAATCGCCCAAGCTTCAGAGTAAATTTCATTTTGTCAAAGACCACCTCACAGAAAGACGAGATGTAAGATCCATTGTTTGTAAATCCCTAAGTTTATTTTGATTTTATTTATTTATATCAGTGAAAATTAACGTGCTTGTACATTATGTACTGATCCTTTGCTTTTGTTGTCAATGTTATTCACAGCTGGCAGTGGACTTCTTGTTTTGCTTAGTTCTCATTGAGGTTTTGAAACAGGTAAATAAATGAAATACTCTGTACTATAAGTGTTATTGAAGTTGTATTATTAAACGTTTTTCTAATTTTAGCAAGAAATCAAAAAGGCTGCATTGACATTTGAAGTTGGCAGCAATCAGCAAGCATAAGGCTAGAGGATGACACATTTGCAACTGACTAATTGCCATATCATTGAAATAAAAATTAGCATTGTTATTTGAATAAGTATTCAAGTTAATTATTTTTTCACAGATTATAGCATTTTTTTTAAAATTGATAATGAAGTAAATTATGGATTATGCTATTGGATGTAATTTGTAATCAATAAGTTTTTCTATAGCATACTGAGTGTATGACAAGGTGTCTATATAGCCCAGGGCTAGTGAAGCAACCCATCAGCCAGCATAAATTTATTATGATTTGTCTAACGGGCAATTGCAAGCAGTTGCATTTACTGAGATTATGTTAGTGAAAAGAGGTTTTATAAGTAGGTTGAGTATGATCATCTGGGTGAACATAGTCATGAGTAGGACTGTTGTTGACAGGGACTTACATTTCAAAAACCTGCGCGGTAGTCATCTTCAGAGTCTAAGTGAGTTGTATCACGTCAGTTGATGTTATTAATCTCTGGTTATTGACCTGATTGGTCAATTAAATCGTGATGTTATTGGTTGTTTGTCAGTTAAGCCGTGATGTTTGATACGTTTGTTAGGTCCACACAAATGCTGCAGGTTAGTACACTTCAGTAACAGTTTCCCTGAAGGTCGAGATACAATTGGAATTTTCATCTTACTTTGGCATGCCACGTCAGAAGCCTTGTTGATACTGAGTGTATTATTACAGTGCTTCACGTTTATGCATAAATGTTACACATGTTAAGGTTTCAGAATGAGCTAATTATACTTTGCATACACGCAGTGACCAGCAGCACTGCACAGATGCATGGATTTGTATTCGCTGTTAACCTGTTTGATGTTATTTTTTTCCAGTTGCCTGTCCACCCAGTCAATGATGAGTTTATTCAATACATTTTATCACTGGCTTTTAAGCATTTTAAGCAAAGGGACAGTTATGCTTCATCCCCTGCTGCTACCAATGGGGAATATGTTGCTGCACTGTATGCTGAGGTTTTGGGTACCTTGGCCCATGCTTGCTTCCTTCCTGTTCGCAAACGATTCACTGCTGAGTTCAAAGAGCATCAGAATAATCCTTCCTCATTTGTGAATATTATTTATGGAATGAAATATTTAAGAATTAAGGTATGTAGACCTTGTTGAATTGATGTGGTCTATGAGTGCTATAAATTCAGGTGCTTGTGTCTTTAAAATTGTTACCTTTTGGAAATCAATCAATCAATCAATCAATCAATCAATCAATCCAATCAATGATTAAACAAGGATAAATTAATGTTGTTTACATATTAAATTAAATTAATTTTGTCTATTATAATTGTTATTTTCAGTTATTTCCAGTTGAAGAACTGGAAGAGTCATTCAATTTTATGCAGGTGGGTAAGAAATGTAATAATTATTATTTTGATCGATGAATACTGTATATGTTAGCATTGTTAACTGTATGAAGAACTCAACTTTGAGCCACGACAATTTACTATTTGTTCTAGTGTCTCATGTTTAGCTTTTGGATTTTGCATTTTCCCCCACTCCTCCCTCCCTTTATTTTCCACTCATTAGTTGTGTGACTTTTCCCTTGATTAGTCAAGAGGTGTCTGTTTCTACTGGCTTAGGGGTGCTTGGCTGGGAGGTTCTGATTTACCAAGTCAGAAGGTTGTAACTCTACTCTTGGGGCTGACTGGTGCAAAGTGGAAGCCCAGTTGGCTTGCATCCCGCATGCACACACCTTCACTAACCGTTGTAGTTGTTAACTAAGATTTACTGGTAAATAGTACTATGCAAATTTCTGCCAAAGAAGTCTTATTTAAGTGGTAACAGAAAAGGATTTCATCCAGAGTTGCAAAAATGACAAGGGCAAAATAATAATCGCACTTTAACTTGGTCTAGGAATGGAGGGGTTAAGGATGTTTTTAAAAGTAGTAAGTATTATTATGAACGATGACATCTTGTCTTTTCAGGAGTGTGCTTCCCTGTTCATAGATACAAGAGACAAGGAAGTGAAGCATGCTTTTGCATTGATGTTTGTGGAGATCCTACTCCCTGTTGCAGCTGGCGCCAACAGAGAGCTGAATGTCCCTGCTCTGAAGACCTTTGTGGACATGATGTATCATCATACATTTGATCTCACAAAAAAGACCAGGCATAGCCAGGTACATTGTATTATTGGTTGGTGTTTAATAGCCCCCTAAATGACTGCATGGTTATATTAGAATAAACTGAAGTTCCACCTGTTCCTCCTGTTCCACCTGTTCCACATGTCCCTCCTGTTCCACATATTCCTCTTGTTCAACCTCTTCCAGCTCTTCCACTTGTTTCACCTGTTCCACTTGTTCCTCCTGTTCCACCTGTTCCTCCTGTTCCACCTATTCCATCTGTTCCTCCTGTTCCACCTGTTCCTCTTGTTCCATCTGTTCCTCCTGTTCCACCAGTTCCAACTGTTCCACCTGTTCGTCCTGTTCCACCTGTTCCACTTGTTCCACCTGTTCCACCTGTACCAACTGTACCAACTGTTCCACCTGTACCAACTGTACCAACTGTTCCACCTGTACCAACTGTTCCACCTGTACCAACTGTACCAACTGTTCCACCTGTACCAACTGTTCCACCTGTACCAACTGTACCAACTGTTCCACCTGTACCAACTGTACCAACTGTTCCACCTGTACCAACTGTACCAACTGTTCCACCTGTACCAACTGTACCAACTGTTCCACCTGTACCAACTGTACCAACTGTTCCACCTGTACCAACTGTACCAACTGTTCCACCTGTACCAACTGTACCAACTGTTCCACCTGTACCAACTGTACCAACTGTTCCACCTGTACCAACTGTACCAACTGTTCCACCTGTACCAACTGTACCAACTGTTCCACCTGTACCAACTGTACCAACTGTTCCACCTGTACCAACTGTACCAACTGTTCCACCTGTACCAACTGTACCAACTGTTCCACCTGTACCAACTGTACCAACTGTTCCACCTGTACCAACTGTACCAACTGTTCCACCTGTACCAACTGTACCAACTGTTCCACCTGTACCAACTGTACCAACTGTTCCACCTGTACCAACTGTACCAACTGTTCCACCTGTACCAACTGTACCAACTGTTCCACCTGTACCAACTGTACCAACTGTTCCACCTGTACCAACTGTACCAACTGTTCCACCTGTACCAACTGTACCAACTGTTCCACCTGTACCAACTGTACCAACTGTTCCACCTGTACCAACTGTACCAACTGTTCCACCTGTACCAACTGTTCCACCTGTTCCACCTGTACCAACTGTTCCACCTGTTCCTCCTGTTCCACCTGTTCCACCTGTTCCACCTGTTCCAACTGTACCAACTGTTCCACCTGTTCCTCCTGTTCCTCCTGTTCCACCTGTTCCTCCTGTTCCACCTGTTCCACCTGTACCAACTGTTCCACCTGTTCCTCCTGTTCCTCCTGTTCCACCTGACCAACTGTTCCACCTGTACCAACTGTTCCACCTGTTCCACCTGTACCAACTGTTCCACCTGTTCCTCCTGTTCCACCTGTTCCACCTGACCAACTGTTCCACCTGACCAACTGTTCCACCTGTACCAACTGTACCAACTGTTCCACCTGTACCAACTGTTCCACCTGTTCCACCTGTACCAACTGTTCCACCTGTTTCTCCTGTTCCACCTGTTCCACCTGTTCCACCTGTTCCAACTGTACCAACTGTTCCACCTGTTCCTCCTGTTCCTCCTGTTCCACCTGTTCCTCCTGTTCCACCTGTTCCACCTGTACCAACTGTTCCACCTGTTCCTCCTGTTCCTCCTGTTCCACCTGACCAACTGTTCCACCTGTACCAACTGTTCCACCTGTTCCACCTGTACCAACTGTTCCACCTGTTCCTCCTGTTCCACCTGTTCCACCTGACCAACTGTTCCACCTGACCAACTGTTCCACCTGTACCAACTGTTCCACCTGTTCCTCCTGTTCCACCTGTTCGTCCTATTCCTGTTCCACTTTTTGCAACTGTTCCGCCTGTTCCACTTGTTCCACCCGTTCCACCTTTTTCACTTGTTCCACCTGTTGCTCCTGTCCCTCGTGTTGCACCTGTTGCACGTCTTCCTCGTGTTCCTCATGTGCCACCTCTTCCACCTGTTCCTCCTGTTCCACCTGTTCGTCCTATTCCGCCTGCTGCTTCTGTACCACCTGTTCCTCATGTTTCACGAGTTTCTTTTATTCCTCCTGTTCGACCTGTTCTACCTTTTTCCCCTGTTCCTCCTGTTCCACCGGTTCCCACTGTTCGACCTGTTCCCCCTGTTTTACCTGTTCCTCTTGTTCCCCCTTTTCCTCTTGAAACACCTGTTCTGCCTGTTCCACCTATTTCTGCTGTCCCATTCGTCCTTTTCCACCTGTTTTTCCTCAGACTGCAAAACAGTCCGTATTTTTGCGTATTCAAGTACGCGCGAGCAGTCAAAGGCTGAAAACAAAGAGCGAGACTGGGGAGAGACGCTAAAAATACGGACTGTCCGTTTTGCATACGTTATATTTGTTCGAATTCCCCGCTTCTCCCAGCCACGGGCAATTCCCATTGGCTAAATTTCGATGCAAGCTGTCACCAAGCTGTCAAGTAATGTTTTCAACAAGTCATTCGCGATATTCCCTACCGAGATGAATTGTTAAAGCTTTCGCCGTAAAATGACGGATCGGCCGGATATGCTCGCAAGAATTGGGATTTGTTTTAAAATCGGAGCAGAGGGAAGCTTGGAGTTACTGCTCAGGGGAAAGGATGTTTTCTGTGTTCTACCAACAGGATTTGACAAAAGCCTCATTTATCAGATGTGGTTCATACAAAGAGTTCGTCAAGTTCTGTTCAACGGCAGACCGTCATTGTTATCTTGCCTGGCTAAAAAAGGGGGATCGGTAGGAAACACACGACTTTCACCTCATGCAAAAATGCTGCTTGTTCCAATGAATTGTTTTCTCTGTCGAGTAGATTATGCTTTGGAGGAAAACGTTTTGACTGAGCAATTGTGAATTTTGGCCGCTTATTAAATATATGTCATACTGACAGGTCGTGACACGCATATTGATTTTCTCTGGTCGGCATGATTTGCCCTCTGATGCAAGAGCATTTTCTTTCTTGGCCCCTTTAGAAATGTAAAGCTCTTCATTGCGGCTGATTAAGGGTTTTAGGTTGTTTCATTTCTCCAAAATGCCTCCTGGATTTGAATAATTTTAAGCGATCTTCTTTGTGTCCGTGAATGTGACTATTTCCTGCAATGTTTTGTCACGCTGGGCCCAGCTCGTTAGCGTTTTTAGCAGGATTTTAAATTCTCACAGATAGTGATTTACAGAGCTAAATCACCAAGACGTGGATTGGAATAAGGGGATTTACTCATTCTTTTCAATCGCAATAATTGTTCATTGTCAGTTGGCAGGGAAAGTTCTTCTCTAATTTGCGAAAGCATCGCTGTGCAGTTTCCCGGGGCAGTTTCTAACCTTTGTTCCGCACGAGGAGAAAACTCTTGTGGAGAAAGATTCTCCTTCCTTGAGGACAACGAACTTTTCGTTTTTTTATAGGTTGGCCCACTTTGGTAACGTTTCTCCTTTGCTGGTAGGCGCAGCAAACACATTTTCCGAGCATATCCATCCACTCGTAAAATTGCCGAACTGTGTTTTGAAACAACAGCCGCACATTCTACAATTTATCCGAAGCGCTTGGCACTTTCGGCTTTCTCCCTCTTCGAGGAGCAGGCAGGCTTTGTTGTTGTACGGCCACTTCCACTCATTTTTGATCCCCCACTATATATACTACATTTCACAGAGAAGCAACGCCAAAAAATGCTTTAGAATTAACGGATTAGAGCGTCAAGATTCGAAGCCAAGTGCAGACAATAACACGCGGTATTCTCCCTCGAAATCAATCTCCGAGTGTATCAATTTCATAAAGAGGGCGGGGTTGTGAACAGATTTTTGACAGCTCGACGACATTTTTGAACCCCCTGGTCGGAACGAACTCATTGTATGGAAAACGGACAGTCGGTTTTTTCTCTCTCGCCTCACACGCCCTACGGGCGTGTGCGCGCGCATGAGACTCTTACGCCACGCGTTACCGATTTCTTTACTGATTTTGAGGAAAAAACCGACTGTTTTGCAGTCTAGTTTTTCCTTTTTCACCTGTGTCTCCTGTTCCACCTTTTTTACTTATTCCTCCTGTTCCACCTGTTCCTCATGTTCTACATGTTCGGAATTATGGTTGCAATGCCCTTGCTGTTTATGAGAGCTGTACTGTAAATAAAAGTTGAGTTATATTATAGCTGCACATTAATATAAGTTTTAGTTCCATTTAATTTTTTTTCTTTTGTTTGCAGCTTATGTACCCACTTGTTACTGTGTTACTCTGTGTCAGTCAGAAAGCTTTTTTCCTTAGTAGCTGGCCAAGTTTCCTTAGTATGTGTCTGGGAACTCTAAAGGTAACTATATACCTAGCCCTGAAAAAAAGAAACAGTTCGTTTAAATATATTTAAAGTACAGAGTAATGATGTTGCAGTAAATATTGTTTAGAAAATCTGCTTAAATTGTGAATCTTAAAAATATACATAGTCTGTTGACTGACAAAAAAAAAATGTAATAAAAGCAGAAAAGAAACACGAATATCGTTTCCCTACAGTTTTACGTTTTTCATCGTTACCTCACAAATATGTCTAATCACACCATTCATCATGTATGTGTAAGTATGGTAATCCATTAGTTCCTAGTATCAGAAAGAACTTCAGCAACTCAGTACAGTAGGCATCCAGCTACCCTGTGAGGTGTATGTAATGTTGATGCTTAGATTGGTCAAGATCAATCCTGCTGGGAGCAGCATTTGTAGTTGTTTGGCAGGCATAAGAGTCTCTTTCACAGGTTTTACAGTCAAAGTTAGACTGTGGAATAGAGGCTTAAATCAGCTTTGTGCTTGCTGTGTTCAGGGTTCGTAGAGGTCATGGAAAACCCGGAAAGTCATGGAATTTAAGCAGTTCATTTTCCAGCCCTGGAAGGTCTTGGAAAATTAAAGTTTTGTTTGGTACATAGATAAGTTACTATAGATGACAAGGCAATGACAATGTAAGATAAAGAGGAGTACTTAACCAGCGCAAACGGCACAAAGTGTGGTTGACACCAGAGTTGTGTCTGTTGAACTGTTCAAAGTCCAAAAATACGCCAAGAAAAGGAAAGTTAAAGTGACAGCTAAACCTAAGGTCCTGGAAAACGTAAAAAGGTCTTGTAAAAAGTCATGGAATTTGAAGAGCCCAAAAGAGTATGAAGCCTGTGTGTTGTCTTCAACTGTTGGTTCTGCTTCTCCTTGCCCCTCCATAATTCCTTTTTGATCAGCCCCTAGCTGTGGAAGCAGTGCCTGTGAGATTGAATCCTTGCTTGCAGGTGTCCTAGAAGGGTAGTGTTGGGTGGCCTGCAGGGTGGTGTCCTGTGGCCAGTTCTCTTTTTACGGTAATGCTTTATGTCCTTGTTAGGTCTTTAAACAGTAGGGTAGAGCTGATTGCCCTCTGAAAGGTTATCGTTTCCCATAAATTCAAAAAATGATGATTGCTTATTTTTTAATATGATACCTTAGTAGCATTTATGGGGATGTATCGCGTAACAACTTTTCTTTTTGTAGGGTTTACATGGTCAGAATTAAAGGTGAAAGTAACACAGCAACCGTGAGGTACATGTATTGATTAATCATTTTAATTGCCAATAATTATTTCATGTAAATCTACTCATTTCCTGTCTATAAGTGTTAATTAGCTAAACTAATGTATTCAATTTGTTTTTGTTCTCTTTCTTTGTTAAGTCGTTTGAGAAGTATCACTGATGTCCTGTTTCCTCGCGGATCACGAGCCGTTGTTCCCAGGGAAGCTCCGTTAAACTACTTTGTGAAGATCATCCAGTTTATAGCCCAGGTGAGTAAACGCTATCTAATCATACAAATCGGGATGATCAGATAATCCCCAAACTGTAATCCATATGTTTCCTATGGCACTGGTGAGGAGAATTTGTTTAATAATCAATAATTATTCTTTACTTGATGATCAGGCAATTCTTTTACAGTGTTTTTTTTTGTTTTAAATTATTACTAAAAGTTGTATCCGATTTTCATTTTCAGGAAAAGCTAGACTTTGCTATGAATGACATCATCTTTGACTTGCTCAGTGTTGGAAGAAACTCTCGGCAGATAAGTCCTGAGGTGTGATCAGTGATACACCTGAATTACTTCGTCTATTAACAGTACATGCATTTTTAATCTGAACAATTATAGTTTACTCATGATACATTCCTATCATTTATTTTAGGTGCATTTTATGGAGAATTATTTTTTATAGTGGTTCTCTGTTTTTATTTTCAGAGAATGAACATTGGTCTTCGGGCATTTTTTGTCATCGCTGATAGTCTGCAAAGAAAGGTATGAAACGATCTTGGTCTCAAATGTGCCTGTAACAAGGCATTAAATTTACAAACGCTATAACCTCCGATGCCCGCCTCCTCGGTAGATTAGAAACCGAGGTGGCTGCCCAGAAAGCGCTTGATCGTGGTAATCTTACAAAGAAATAGAGTACTGTAAACAGTATGCCTTCATAAGAACTATTTTTAACACCAGCTCCAATCAGATGCTGCGTAGCATTATAGTTTTCCATGTATTCGAGTGTAGAGATGTTTTTTTTTGAAGGGTGGAGAGCCTCCTGCCATGCCAACAAGCACTACTCCTCTACCCTCGGGAAGTACGGTGAGAGTAAAGCGAGTGGCCTCCATGAAAAATCTTACTGAAAGCGAGGCAAGCAGTATTGGACTGGCAAACT